CAAAATCTTCAGTTGAGGAAGCAGCTCAAATCTATGAACGTGCTATCTCTGGACCTCTGAGAAAGAACCAGCTCTTGTACTTTGCCTATGCAGATTTTGAGGAATCCCGCCTGAGATACCAAGAAGTGCATAAAATTTATCAGCGGTACATAGAAATGGAGGATATTGATCCAACACTGGTAAGTTCGGCAGAATCATTTGTGGTGGAAAAGGTATGAGTGAAATTATGTGATTTCACAGTGCATGGTAAGTTCCTGTAACAGTTATAACTATAGCAATGTCACATCCTTTTCTAGTGGGTTCTTTCTCCCTTTTTCCTTTTAGACAATGATAATCTATGTGTCAGAAATAATAATATGAGAATATTAATTTTATTCTTGGTTTGATAATAACAATAGAACATTTGGTATAAGTATATATGTATGTATTTCCCATGAAGGGAATGTGTTAAGTCTGCTTTTACAGTTCGGAAAAACAACACTGGAAGCTGATTACTTTTTCCCTGTTTTTATTACCTAATTTGTTTTTTGTTTTTTTCTTACCTCTCCCAGGCTTACCTTCAGTATATGAAATTTGCTCGACGGGCAGAAGGAATAAAATCCACAAGAGAGGTCTTCAAGAAAGCGCGAGAGGACGTTCGGACAAAATTCCACATCTACGTTGGTGCTGCTCTCATGGAGTACTACTGCACAAAGAATAAAGACATTGCTTTTAGGATATTTGAACTGGGACTCAAGAAGTGCCCGGATAATGCAGACTACATTATGGCCTATGTTGACTATTTATCCCATTTGAATGGTAAGCAAATAATTTGTTTAAGTTCAGGAGTTGTCACTGTAGGATTAAACACTATGCGTTTCCTTATGGATGTGAACCCATTCATTTGCTTTAATAAAAATACATTTTTAGTCTAGCTAGTCAATAGAAAGGAAATTCAATCAAAGAGTATATACTCTGCATCCTTGATTTGAACAAGCTCTATCTACCAATCCGCTCCTCCTGTTACTCAGACCTCGTGCTTGCTATTGGTATAGTCATTTAACCTTGAAAATTTAATGAAACTGAATAGTTAAATAATTAATGCATGATTGAGATACAATAAGCGATGAATCATTCCGAGAAGGCTATTCTTTAGTAATTGATCTGATCTGAGATACTGTAATATTTTAAAAAATTATGTATTACTTGCTGTCACTGTGAAGTTTCACTTGATTACTCTATTAAGTATGCATCTACAATTAAACACTACTGTCATTTCTCTCAGCAAGTTTGACCTCTTTTCTAAAATGAAAAGTCTTTATTCTCTCACAATTATACTGCTATAATTTTTGTTTGTTATTTCATTATCCTCTATTATGGTTATTATTTTTACTGATATTAGTAATCTTACTACAGATAATAATATCCAAGCTATATTCATTCTTATCTTTCTTTTATTTCCAGACGATAACACCCAAGAGTTTTGTTTGAAAGCAGTGCAGTGCTAACCTCAGAGACAGCTGAAATGAGAGAACATGTCGCTGGCTCGTGGAAAAAACCGGTTTCCCTGGAAGTTTGAGCTGCCGAATGTTAGGTTTTGATCTTGCGTCGATTGTCAGGTCCCGAAGAGGTAGAAGCAGAACTCACTGATTTTGCAGAACGGTAGTTTCCACCCCATCCACCAGTATAAGATATTTTAGTAGAACTGTGGCAATATTCGTTTGACTTTATTTGTTCTCCTTATCTATTGGATATTGAGCTCTATATGTACATGCTATGTTTGTTCAGGTCTTCAGAGGGTTTGTTTTGCAGCCTGTCAAATAATTTGTGGATCATCTTTTTTATTAAAAACATAGGTATGTATATCTCTTCCCTCTTTACGTTCCTTTTCATGCCTTGAAACTATATATATATATATATTTTTTTTTTTTGGGCCAATCTCCTTTTGCCATTTGCAGTCTCTTTAGTACATGCATTTATGAATATTTTTCATTTCATAGCTGCAAGAGTTTGAGGGCAAGGACACAGCAACAGCTAGTTGATCGGATACAAGTTTCATTGACCTCTACTCCTTGCACACCACCTGAACTGAAGTCAAGCTCTGATTTTTTCTGTTCCGTTTCATTTGGTTGCTAGCTTCAAAATGACTTACTTTCATGTCGTGTTTGGCGAATATTTGTGGTTTTCCCCCCCCCCAGGGGTTTGGGCTTTGTATTTTGTATTCGTATGTATTTGCTATAAATGAAATGCTATTTTAAGACTATCTGATTTTTTTTTGTGATTATCTTAGCCAAAGGGTACGAGCCTTAACTCCAGTGTAGGCAGATTTATGAAATAAATGCAAAATAAAATGTAGGATTTGATAGCCTTTCTCACAATCAGCAATTTTTTTCCTTCCAGAGCCATTGGTTTACCGTGACATCTCTCCCAAACTTGCAGCATCATCAACCCAAATGAATTTCCAACCAGATGAGAATTGTCAATTTTCACGACTCTCAGGAGCCGACCTCCTACTGCAAGATCCCGACTTCTTCTCAGATGATTCCCCTTCAAACCCAAGGCCAAATAATATCCTGGAGAACACCCAGAAGTCAAAGGTGGTCTGTATTTGCCTTTCTCTTTTGTGTTGGTTTTCAGGAGTTGGGAAACGTGGCATTGCCCGTTAGCATCCGTCTCTTCGCAGGTACTGATTGTGAAATAATTAAGCGTTATTTATTTTTTTCTTATTTTGGAGATATTAATCATTGTTTTTTTTTTTTTTGCAAGACCTAGTAGGTCGACCAAGACAATCACTGACGTGACATCTGATATTATAATTTTATTTTAACTTTAAACAGGTTTCATAGTCACTTTATCTTTTGAAGTAATAATTCTTTTTGTCTTTTTCATCCTGTGTATTGTAATAGACAGCGAATTTCTATTGATAATCAAATTCATTGATAATGGATATCTTGCTTCAGTGTAGATCTTGTAAGTATTTCTAATTTTGTTTAATTCCCTCAGAAATCATATAGAGTTTAGAAAAGTCTGTATGCCTTTTTTAATTTTACATTCTCGTCTTAGTAGTGTTCAAGAAAGCAACTTTTACAATGCTTCTTATATTTTCATCAATCACACTGAACATTATCCTGTGATAGGTGGTGCTTTCCCCCCACCTCCTGCTGTTGCCAATCTGCTGTCCATGCTGCCGCCACCTCATTGCTCCGAGGCCTTTGTCAAGCTCGATGCTTTGGTTGACCTCTTCATGAGACTGAACCTTCCTGAACAAGGTAAGATTTATTGGAATATATATATGAATATATGTACATAGATACATTCACACACACACTTGAATAAGTTTGCTGATGTCCTTTATAAGATAAGATCATGAGATTCATAAAAGCAGTATAATGTGTGCTGAGAATTATCATTTATTTTTTATTTTACATTTTCAAATGGTGTCATTTCCAGGGGGTCAATGGTCAACTACTGGAAGCCATGATGTCAGACTGTTTGAACTCTCCAAGTCCGTGCACTGGGTAGTTGACCCCAGTGGAGACCGGAAGAGAAAACTGGTCCCTGGTGACGATTCAGATGATGAAGACGGGAATAAACCCATTTTAACAAGTGATATTTACAGAGCCAGACAACAGAAAAGAATGAAGTAAGAAATAAAGGATGTAATGTAATGAGTGAAAGTACACCATTTGCTTTCGAAGTGCGATGTTTGTTAAGATGCAATAATTTTTAGCTTTATTTAATTATTATTATTATTATTATTTTATTCATCTTGAATATATCAGTCATGACTAGGAAACATATCCATCTCAACTTCAGCAAAGAAAACCAACTGGAATATCAGTAAATGTGATTTTGAAATTGATTCGTGATAGTTATTCCTTTGTTGTTTGGAGGCTATACAAGCTTGTTTTAATTCCACAAATGATTGTTAAAAGAAATCAGCATTGCTTTTATTTTACAATTCTATTGATTCTTAGAATGTTTACAATGTGTCCATTGTATATTATTCGTATCAAGACCATGACTTGTTGGTAAAAAGCATACCTCGAGCGGTTGTATATTCTTGGTATTTTGCGTAAATTCCCAAACCTAGTATGTATAATAAACAGAACAAGGAAATGAGGGCTGTTTAGATGTACTTTTGACCATTACACTGTATATGTCAGATTTTTAAAATGTTATTTTTAGAAATAAATCTGGTTTTATTCATAATGTTTCACTCAACAACAATGTAAAATAAGAGGGGGTTATTCAGTCATGGAGAGGAAGTGGTGGATCGGGAACTTAGAATTTTATTTTATATATAGAACTCGGGAATTACTTCTTGAAAGACTCAAGTATTATATGCTAAGATGTACTTTGGAATGAAGTGTCATGACAATTGCAATAACTGTTAATCTGGCATATATAGATATCTAACAAGAAGGAAGTAGACATATTATGAATTGCCTTTGCAAATGATGCAATAGTAATATATATTTTATGTGTGTGCACAAGAATTCATACACTGGAAAATGGTGTGGTTAATCCGTAATTACTATAATTCAACAATGAAAAATACCAAATGACTAGGTGTGAGATGCAGGTTGAGGTACAATGAAGTCTTGAATACGGCATTTGTTACCCTTTTGCTAAAAAGTAGAGTGAACAACTCGTTTTCTATATAGTTAGGTTATTTTTTTATTGCAGTATAGTAGTGAAAGTTCTCAGATTTCATTTCTAATGTAGAATGCAATCATATACTGCATTACAGAAATATATTGCTATTGAAGTAAGAACAACAATGGTTGTACTTTGCAAATGTAAAATGAGGAGAGGTAATACTGTGAAGCTTGTTATTTTTTATATTTTGGTTTGAATAGATACTCTATCCATGAACTGCATTATGACAGAATATTCAAACAGTTTGTTAACTTCCACTTCCTGATGTACACACACATAGGAAGCAGCAAGTCCAGGTAGAATTTTAATATTTGCTAGACATCTACTAAGATTTTATTATTTGCTGCAGGATTTCATGAGGTGTTTGCCGAAGGACGACATGAAGTATCAGTAATTACTACAAGACAGCATACATTATTGTATAACTGAAATGCAAGTATCTGTTGAATAACTCGGCAAGATGATATTTTGAAAGATTCTAGTAGTAGATGGATTTGACATTCAGATTATTACTATTCTTTTGAATGATATGACTTGTCAGTACATATTTTGAACTGTTATGTACAAAGAAATCTACACATTTTACCTGAAGTAAAATAATAAAGTTGAATCTTTTTACTTGTTCTTTTCTCAGTGGGGAGTGTCCTATCCAATTTAGTAGAGGGAGTAGTGTTGAAGAGTTTAAATATGAAAACCATATTTCATGATTCTCCAGTGAAAATGTTTGTCTTTTTAACCATTAAAGGAACAAGCAGGGGAGTAGCAGTATTAACGGCAGTATGTAGAGTAGTATATTGTAGTTATCCTATCTCAATCAATAGACACGCCTCGCTTTCCTTGATTACAGTACACACTTTACGAAGGGTACAGATTGATGGGTCCTTGTATTAAAGCCTTCTTCTAGAACTTTTTAGTGATTGAAATATTGGCAGTACTCAGTCTTTTGCAGTATATGAAAATAATGAAATATTATGAATATTGAACATTCTGCCCAAGGGATCTCTTTCTTGCATTGTCCGTTTCCATTGATTATATTGTGCAATGTAGATTAAAAAAAATCGTCATTTGAATGAACGCAGAATATCAACATGTAAGAAAAGGTTAATTCACAAATGACTCATTTTGCTCGCTCCCTTTTGATTAAGTGTTTTGGGTCCACTTTAATGTAAAAATTTATTTTGTAAAAAAATTGTAGACCATCAGGCAACATTAGGAATTTTCCTAGTTATTGTTTCTTTATATGTCATTTAGTGTATTATTTTTGTATTAAGAGAATTTGTTTTTTTATTTTTTTGTCATCTTTTGATAATGAAAACTAACAGGTGTATTATGAAAACCGTAAGGGTCCCTAAACCTTAGCTTATGGAAGTAACCCAAATCTTTCCATATTCCAAAATAGATACCACAGACCTTCCCCTCTCCCTGAGGAGTTGGTAATCCTGGCAGAATTCGTAACAAAAAAAAGATTACTTATTTTGAAACGTGTTGTTTGTCCGGGTTCATAATACTAAATTTGTTCCATTTATTTTCTTCATGGATGCTTACCATGGCCCTTGTGCCTAGGTCACAGGGGAAGGTTGATAAATCTCTTTTCTTATTTGATTACCATACGGTTTTAGGGTATTCAACAAATACCATATGTTTCAAATACTTTTAGATGGAACACACATATTGGAAAAAAAATTAATGGTGATTACAAGTTTGATTATGACAGGATAATCTTACCTTACAGTATACATTCATCTATTATTTCTATAATTTATTTTGTTTGGTTGTTAATTTTTTTATGTATATATTTATATCTATGTATATATATATATATATATATATATATATATATATATATATATATATATATATATATATATATATATATATGCATGGTTAATGTTTGGAATAAATAATGTGCTAGGCATCAAAGGTCATATAGTACTTGGAAAAGTATGTGGCAAAAAAAGAAGAGTTAAAGATTAGGATAAAATGTGTTATGTCAAGGATAAGAGAACATTTCAGATAGTATGGTAGTGAAAAGGGAAAAGAGGGGAGCAAATGAAGTAGAACCGAGACTAGTAAAACGTGAAGGCTTAAGGGGTTAGGGCAGTTGAGTGAATTGCAGTGTCTTGGTGACTGGGAAAGGAATAGGGACATTGATATATAAGCATGCACACAATACCCAGTACTATTTCTGTAATTCATTGTGTAATATAGGTATAATATAGGGTGAAAAATATATAGAATTTTGCAGGTGATTGACAGGGAATGTATGCCTATTTAAACTTCTGACTAGGTTTTCTGCAACTTTGTGTGTATTTTCCAGCCATCTGCAATCAATTACAAATTATGTAGAGTGTTCTAAAGAAAATCATGAGAACAGGTTCTCTTAATGCAACCCTCCCCTACCTTAGCTAAAACCCTCAGTGTACCAACAATGCTTATGCTGCATAAATGGGTTTTGGGTGAGGGAGAAGGAAAATTATGTTACGGAATACCATATTTCCTTAAGCAGGGAAAAGGACCCTTAACTTTTTTAATAATACAGCTGTAAAGGCCCAGCAAAATCAATTATTGAATAGGTAGGTACAAGGTCCATAAATGCAGACCTTAGTTAAATTGTCAGGTATGTGTCAATGTCAATGTCAATGAAAGTACGAGAGAGAGAGACAGAGAGAGAGAAGAGAGAGAGAGAGAGAGAGAGACGGTAGTGAGTGAGAGAGAGTAGTGGTGTCATGAGTAAGCTTGTATAGGTATGCATGAGTGTGATTATGCAAGTTTCACTTCATGTGCAATATTATAATTACTATATTTCATTCTAGCAAATTTAACTTGAGTATACACATAAAAAATTCACATTTTGTATGGACTTTCATGATCTTCGAGGCAAAGAACCTCTGGGTGGAGGCCATATTACAGTGTCTGATATTCCTCCTGCCTTCTCTCTTTTAATTAATCTTTCATTACATCAATCATCTGATTATTTTTGTCAAATTAGAACCATTACTCCTTTCTCCTTCACAGCAACCATGTACTTCCTGTGTTACATTGCTATTGTTGTAATTCTGAATATGTAGGAAAGTTTGGGGAGAGAAAGATGTTGCATCTTTATCTTATCATATATGGATCTCCCAACTAGCTGTGATATTGAAACTGGGAAACACATACAATGAGTCAAATGCATGGCGACTACTCTTGAAAATGTAACGTAAAGTAGGCTGATATTAGAAGAACTTCTGTAAGATACTTTGGTTTTCTGAAGTAATAAATTTCAAAACAATAGGGTATCAAAACCTATTTCATTTAGTCTTTATGTTATTTACATTAAGTGATAGGGTTTTGACATGTTAGGCATATTATAAACTTTGTAAATACTGTACAGGTCAAGCAAGACATATACTGTGCTTACACATACACTGATTACCATCTGATAATATAATCCTTAACACTTAGTGTAGTGCTTCAGATAACTGAGCTATAATAAGACTTCAACATCAACATGGTTTAATGTTATGAATTGGATATTAAAAGTCACATACAACAGCGCCCCATAGAATAAAGTAATCTATATGATAATGAATACCAGGATTATGATGAGGATGAATAAACATAAATAAAAAGTAATGACAATTACAATGATTATTATTATACTGAAAAGAATAACAGCAAATATTATATTACTAAATGTAATATAATGGCAGCAACAACTACAGTCAAGCAAGAAGTTACCTCAGTGCTATTGTTAACACTAACAAACAACTAGCGACTGTAATTACCCAGAGTATAAAACAAGCAAATAACCAAGAAAAGCATGAGGTTAAAACATTCCATCTGTTGAATATATAAACTGGTGTGTGATAATAACGATGATAGATAAATGACTTAATAAACTGATTGAACTAAATAGCAATTCGGAATAGCTGAAGAGAGCCAACAGTTATTAAGCAAGAACGAACTCAAACATACTTCCACGAAGATAAATGGAAATAAAAAGACAAGTCATGAAAGCACAGCCATATTTCAACAAAAAATGTTGAAATGCAAACACACAAGTTCCAACGTAAATAACATTACATTCCTTAAGTTACAGTAACCAGATCATTATATCAAGGATATTCTATGTCGTAGGAGATGATGCCTGAATAGCTTGCCTGTATTGATATACCTTAATTCAATAATCTCCTTCGGCTGTTACGAAGTTGCGTAGTGGTCTACAGAAAAGTCCAGATAAAACCATGAAATTCAGCTTTCATGCAGTATATGGTCAATCCTACACTACAACTGAGGATATGAAATTCACCTTATTCTAGAGTAATCAACACTAGATTACAAAAAATGTTATAATAAAATATAACAACTGTAATTAGTCCAATTTTGGAATCTAATGGTAATTTTCATATCTCTTTGATGTCATTTAACAATGTTAGCTTGATTATCATCTGATTTCACTGTGCCAGACCAATGTTTGTATTAAAAAAAAACAAGAAAAAAGAAAAAAAAAGAGAAACAGCAATAAGTAACTACCATGCACTCGATAGACCTTGCATGGAGAAATAAAGATTTGCCTGTGGAAAAAAAAAAAAGACTCATAAGTATAAGTTTGTCAAATGAAATATAGTGCAAAAATGTCATCACAGCCATTCATAAAATTACGTAGTATCTTTATACTTTCCCTTAGTACCTTAGAAGTTACTGAAAATGACTGTTGAAGCCTAGACCAAAAATTCATAGAATAAAATCCATTTAGAGTAAAAATACTTTTTTTTTCATAAACAGATAAAGAGTACTTTCAAAATAAACCGCAATATGTATTATTTCTGCCATCGAAGTCTAGCTCTATGAGGCTCTATTCTATGAATATTAGACACTATGACACAATGGTGAATATGCAGTCTACTAACTTCTGTGGAACATTACACGTAATCTACTCATTTCCTACTATCTCGAATTGATATGTAATCTGTCTACTATTTTTTCATTTATCTATTAAAACATATCAATCTACTCATTTCCTGCAATACATATAACAAGATATTATCCATCCACCATAATCACACGAGTTTACATAAAAGGCAACATCATTAATCTCTAAAATTACATGAAGCACCAAGCCATATATTTGCCACAATTATATAGGTATAGTCATATATGAAAATTACAGTAAACAAGAGAATTGCTAAATAACCTGCCTTTATAATATTTTGGATAAAAAATAAACGTACACAGATAATAAACCACTAGCACCAGTAACAATCTCCTGTAATTATTATGTCTAACACTTTGCTGTCTATGTGAAGCACTCAGCTGTTAGAATGCTTCCTTGAATATAAAATATATAATGCAATCTATATATATTTGATAAATAAACACTTAAGTATAGTTTCTCCTCCATTATTATCATATATGAGAACCAGTTGTTTGTAAGAAGTTGACAATTTCTTTGAATTTTGCCAATTAGATTAATCCATTAAACATGTGAACACTATAACCTGTTTTCTTTAAATGTAAAGACTAGTGTCTAATAAACTGATTAACTTTCTTATATCCTATTGTTGAAATTTTGCTGAAAAAAATATATTTAGATAGCTATTTTCCTCTCCTTGTAAACTTCCTCTTTATTCCAAAAA